CACAGAGCGTTTAAATCGCATGCCCATTGTTAAGTTGGATAGTTTGTTATTGAGTTATAAGAGTTTTTATTCACATATTTTATATACTTCGTTTTTTAAATTTTTTTGATGTTTATTTTTGAGAGAGAGACAGAGTGTGAGCATGGGAGGGTCAGAGAGAGAGGGAGATACAGAATCTGAAGCAGGCTCCAGGCTCTGAGCTGTCAGCACAGAGCCCGACGCCGGGCTTGAAACCACTAACCACGAGATCATGACCTGAGCCGAAGTCGGACGCTGACTGAGCCACCCAGGCGCCCCAAATTTTATATACTTTGGATACAAACATTTTTCATTTCCTTAACAGTTCTTCTGCAAAGCAGATTTTAGCTTTCATGCAGCTCACTTTACTGAATTTTTCTTTCCTCTCCCTCACTCTCTGAATCCCAGCCATGTTGACCGTCTTTCAGTTCCTTATAATGCCAGGCTCACACATGTTGCAAGGCTTTTGGATATGCTGTTTGCTGTTTTGAATGGCTTCTTCATGCCTATTCTCCTACTTAACTCGTATTCTTTGAACTCAATTCAAATACCACTTCCTCAAAAAGACCTTCCCTGCCAGACCCCATACAGATTGTTTCTCTGTTACATACTCTCATAACATGCACATCCTTTCTTCAAAGAAGTTATATCAGTTTAAAACTAAGAGTTAATTGGGGCACTTGGGTGGCTCAGTCGGTTAAGCATCTGACTTCGGGTCAGGTCATGATCTGATGGTTCGTGGGTCGAGCCCTGCATCAAGCTCTGTGCGAACCGCCTAGAGTCTGGAGCCTGCTTCAAATTCTGTGCCCCTCCCCCACTCACACTCTGTCTCTCTCTCTCAAAAATAAATATTTAAAATTTTTTGAAAACCTTAGAGTTAATGTGGGGGCTATATATATATATATATATATATATAAAGAGAGAGAGAGAGAGAGAGAGAGAGAGAATGGAGGGGCCACAGATGAATTCAAATTTACATAAAATTTCAAAGCAGAAAAATGCGTTGTTTTCAGTGAACAAAATATGGCTTTTCATTTTTTTCACCATTGTTTTTCTTACTATTGAAGTATAGTTGGCATAAACTGTTATATTAGTTTCAGGTATATAACATGTTGACTCAGTGTTCATCGTGATAGGTGTAGTCAACATCTGTCACCAAACAACTTTATTACAATATTATTGACTATATTCCCTATACTGGGCTTTTCATCTCCATGACTTATTCATTTTATAACTGGAAGTTTATACCTCTTAATTCCTTTTGTCTACTTTGCCCACTGCCACCCACCTCCCCTTTGGTAACCAGCAGTTTGTTCTCTATATCTAGAGATTGGGTTTGTTTGGGGGTTTTGTTTGTTTGCTTCCTTGTTTGTTTTGTGTTTTAGATTCTACATATAAGTGAAATCATATGGTATTTATCTTTCTCTGCCTAATTTATTTCACTTAGCATAATGCCCTCTAGGTCCATTTATGTTATCACAACTGTCTAGATCTCAGATTTCATTCTTTTTTATGCCCGAGTAATAGCCCATTCATCTATGGCTAGACACTTGGGTTGCTTCCATATTTTAGCTATTGTAAATAGTGCTGCAATAAACATAAAGATGTAAATATATTTTCAAATTATTTTCAAATTAGTGTCTTCTTTTTCTTTGGGTAAGTACCCAATACTGGAATTACTGGATCATATGGTATTTCTATTTTTAATTTTTTGAGGAAACCCCATGCTGTTTTCCACAGTGCTTGGACCAATCTACATTCCTGTTGAAGATACACAAGGGTTCCCTTTTCTCCAACACTTGTTATTTCTTATCTTTTTGACACTAGCCATTCTGATTTGTGTGAGGTGATATCTCATTGTGTGTTTGATTTACATTTCCCTAATGATTGGTGATATTGAGCATCTTTTCATCTCTCTGTTGGCTACCTGTATGTCTTCTTTGGAGAAATGTCTATTCAGGTCTTCATTTTTAATCAGATTATTTGGATTTTTTTGTGTGTATAAGTTTTTTTTAATGTTTATTTTTGAGAGAGGGAGAGAGAGTGCAAGTGGGGAAGGGACACAGAGAGAGAGACAGAAACAGAATCCAAAGCAGGTTCCAGGCTCTGAGCTGTCAGCACAGAGCCCAACTTGGAGCTCAAACCCATGAATCATGAGATCATGACCTGAGCCAAAGTCAGACGCCTAACCAATGGGGCTACCCAGCTGCCCCAGCAGTTCTTAACATATTTTGGATATTACCCCCTAATCATATATATTATTTGCAAATACCTTCTCTCATTCAGGAACTTGCCTTTTTGTTTTGTTAAAAGTTTATTTTGCAGGGGCACCTGGGTGGCTTAGTCAGTTAAGCGGCCGACTTCAGCTCAGGTCATGATCTCACGGTTTGTGGGTTCAAGCCCCACGTCAGGCTGTGTGCTGACAGCCAGCTCAGAGACTGGAGCCTGCTTCAGATTCTGCCTCTCTCTCTCTCTCTGACCCTCCACTGCTCACGCTGTCTCTCCCTCTCTCAGAAATAAATAAAACATTTTTTAAAAAGTTTCATTTGCTGTGCAAAAGCTTTTCATTTTGTTGTAGTCCCAATAGCTTGTTTTTTGCTTGTTTACCTTGCCTCGGGAGACATCTCCATAAAAATGTTGCTAAAGCTGATGTCCAAGAGATTACCGCCTATGTTTTCCTTTAGAAATTTTATGGTTCAGGTCCTACATTTGGGTCTTTATTTATTTTGAATTTTTTGAATTTATTTTTGTGTGTAGTGTCAAAAAAAAAATGGTCCAGTTTCATTCTTTTACATGTAGCTGTCAAGTTTTCCCAGTACCATTTATTGAAAAGCCTGTCTTGTCCCCGTTATGTATTCTTGCCTCCTTTGTCATAGATTAATTAACCATATAAGCATGGATTTATTTCTGGGCTATCCTGTTCCATTGATCTATGTGTATATTCTTGTGCCAGTACCATACTGTTTTGATTATTATAGCTTTCTAGTATAGTTTGCAATCAGTGAGCCTGACACCTGTGGCTTTGTTCTTTCTCAAGATTACTTTGGCTACTCAGGGTCTTTTGTGATTCCATACAAATTTTACAACTGTTTGTTCTAGTTCTGTGAAAAATTCCATTAGCATTTGATAGAGATTGCATTGAATCTGTAGATTGCTTTGTGAACTATGGACGTTTTAACAAAATTTAACTATATTAACTCTACCAACCTATGAACACAATATATCTTTCTATTTGTTTGTGTCATCTTTAATTTTTTTCATCAGTGTCTTAAAAGATTTCAGAGTATAGGTCATTCACCTCTTTGGTGAAATTTATTCCTAGGTATTTTATTCTTGGTAATGCAATTGTAAATAGGATTGTTTTCTTAATTTCTCTTTCTGCTACTATGGTATTGATGTTTCAAAATGCAACAGATTTCTGTATATTCATTTTGTATCCTGCGTCTTTACTGAATTTATTTATTAGTTCTGGTGTCGTCTGCAAATAGTGACAGTTTTACTTCTTTATCAGTTTCGATGCTTTTTACTTCTTTTTGTCGTCTGATTGCTGTAGCTAGGACTTCCGGTACTATGTTGAATAAAAGTGTTAAGAGTGGACATCCTTGTCTTGTTCCTGATCTCAGAGGAAAAGCTTTCAATTCTCACCATTGAGTATGACATTAGCTGTGGAGTGTTCATTTTCATTTTTTTCTTTATTGTGTTGGGATATGTTCCCTCCAAATCGATTTTGTTGAGTTTTTGACATGGATGGATGTTGTATTTTGTCAAATGGTTTTTCTGCATCTAATGAGATAGTTATATGTTTTTTATCCTTTTTGTTAATATCTTGTAATCAGAGTGATTGATTTTTGAATTTTAAACCATCCTTGCATCTTTGGAATTAAGCCCATCTGATCTTGGTGAAGTATCATTTTAATGTATTGCTGAATGCTATATGCTAAGATTTTGTTGAGGATTTTTGCATCTATGTTCATCAGGGATATTGGCTTGTAGCTTTCTTTTCCTCTAGTGTCTTTGTGTGCTTTTGACATCAGAGTAATGCTGATTCAGAGACGGATCTTTAAATGAATGGTGTTAAAACAATGATTAACCATTTGTAAAAAAATAAATAAATAAATAAACAAATCAAATACATAGGCTAGAGTCCCAATATAACTTTGCCAAACTAAATTCCAGATAGATGAAACAAATGCAAAAAATGAAGCCATGATGATACTAAAAGAAAACATCTTTAGACTAAAACAAAATAAGAAAGGCGACGTTTTCTTTGTAAACTTGATGTATATAAATGGCCATGTAAGCAGATCAGAAAAACTAGACTGCATAGAGGAAAAAAGGAATAGATTTTATGTAAAATCTAAGTTTTACATAAGCCATGTTTTAAAATACATGTAATGTGTATCAAAAAGTGTTAATATCTTCAGTATACAAATAATTTTTTTCAAATCAATAAGAAAAATGTCATCACTTTAATAGAAAAAATGTAAGATTGTCATGAACAAATACTTCACAAAATAAGGAAATCAAATGGGCAATAAACATATGGAAAATGCCTCTCAGGAAGGAAATTTGGCAGGATCTATTAAAATGGAAAATGTGCTTAGTCTTTTACAACATTTTCAATTTAAATATTAATTCTAAAGATGTAATCTCAGCAGTGGAACAAATTATATTCCCCAAAATAGTTGCTGCTGAAATAATTAGCATAACAAAATTTTTGGAATATCTGAAATGCCCATCAACAGGAAATGGTTATATAAATCCAGGTAATATATAAAATGAACTATTATTATTATGTACTAATCACACTTGTCATTTTAAATATCATAAACTTATTTGATTCATTATCTCTGCCCACAGATGATAGACTCCATGAGATTAAGGACTTCCAATTTTGTCTCTAGCAACTGGCTCATTTCCCAGTAGGCACTCAATACATACTTGAGCAAATGAATGAATGAGGCCTCCCTTTATCTTAACAGGCTGGAAGTGATGGGGAGAGTATTGGAAACTGTCCCTTTTGCCAACGCCTTTTTATGATCCTCTGGCTTAAAGGAGTTAAATTCAATGTAACTACTGTTGATATGACCAGGTAAGAGAAATCAAGACATGTTTCATTCTGGAGATTGAAATCAGTAGACACCAGTATAATGTTTGTGTTTGTATAATGTGTACTATAACTAAAGGCCTAATGCTGCTTATTTTCAATAATTATAGAAAGCCTGAAGAGCTGAAGGACTTAGCCCCAGGCACCAATCCTCCTTTTCTGGTGTATAACAAGGAGTTGAAAACAGACTTCATTAAAATTGAGGAGTTTCTAGAGCAGACACTGGCTCCTCCAAGGTACAGCATTCTACAGGATATTATTGTTGTTGTTGAAAAAAAATCTATTTTATTGCCTTATTTATTGCAGATTGAGAATTCTTACTTCTAGACATCTAACTCTTTCTCACTGTTGGACCTCTCTTTTGCTATTTTTCTAGAAAAGTTTGCAAAGATCCCCTTGATTATTCTATATATGATTACAAAACTTTACTACAGAATTATTTATTTAATATATCTAAGGCTATTAAAACTATATAAGATGTAGGCAGTATATAAGGAAAAGGCAAAGGCTAGATTTAGAAACCTGGGAAAGGCAGGGAATTTCAGCCATAATGAAGTTTGGGGGTATTTATAGAGCTCTCACAAGATCTTGAATTTTGAAACAGCTTTTGATTCAGTCTGATCTCTAAGCTCTCAGGTTGAGAAATATTATGTCTATTATGCATAATCTTCCCCCCCTCAACTTTAAATAACCAAAGATAATAGTTTTAACATTTCAAAGTAATTTTTATATTCCTTATGCTATCTGTGACTTTTGTTCACATGACTTATTCATTCCATAACTGGAAGTCTGTATGTCCCACTTCCCTTTACCCGTTTTCACATATCCTCCAACCCTTTCCCCTCTGGTAACCAGTGGTTTATGCTATGTATTTATGGGCCTGTTTCTTGAGGCATCATAATTCTGAACTTCAAGTTATATTACAAAGCTGTAGTGATCAAGACAGTATCATACTGGCACAAAATAGATACATAGATCAATAGAATAGAATAGAAAACCCAGAAGCGAACCCACAACTATGTGGTCAATCTTTGACAAAGCAGGAAAGAATATCCAATGGGAAACAGTCTCTTCAACAAATGGTGTTAGGAAGACAGGACAGCAAGATGCAAAAGAATGAAATTGGACCATTTTCTTACACCGTGCACAAAAATAAATTCAAAATGGATTAAGGAAGGTACTCATGATGAGCATTGAATGTTATAGGTAAATGATGAATCACTAAATTTCTACACCTGAAATTAATTTTACCATATATGTTAACTAACTAGAATTTAAATAAAAACTTGAAATAAAAAAGAAATAGATAGTGGTGATGATTGCACAACACTGTGAATGTAATTAATGTGACTGAATTGTAAACATAAAAAAAGCTTAAAATGGCAGATTTTATTTATATTTTGCCACAATAAAAAAAATGGGTTAAAGACCTAAATGTGAGACAAGAAACCACCAAAATCCTAGCGGAGAACATGGGCAGTAATCTCTTTGATATTGGCCATAGTAACTTCTTACTAGATATGTCTCCTGAGGCAAGGGAAACAAAACAAAAATAAACTGTTGGGACTTCATCAAAATAAAAAACTTCTGTACAGTGAAGGAAACAATCAACAAAACTAAAAGGCAACCTATGGAATGGGAGAAGATATTTGCAAATGACATATCTGCTAAAGGGTTAGTATCCAAAATATATAAAGAACTTATAAAACTGAACACCCAAAAAACCCAAATAATCCAGTTTAAAAATGGGCAGAAGAGGGGCACCTGGGTGGCCCAGTCGGTTGAGCAAACAACTCTTAGTTTTGGCTCAGGTTATGATCTTGGGGTTTCATGGGTTCAAGCCTGCATAAGGCTCTGTGCTGGTAATGTAGAGCCTGCTTGGGATTCTGTCTTTTTCCCTCTCTCTGCGTCTCCCCCACTTGCACTGTCTCTATCTCAAAATAAGTAAATAAACGTTTTTAAAAATGGACAGAAGATGTGAATAAACATTTTTTCCAAAGAAGATATCCAGATGGCCAGCAGACACATGAAAAGATGCTCAACATCACTCATCCTCAGGGAAATGCAAATCAAGACTACAATGAGATATCACCTCATACCTGTCAGAATGGCTAAAATCAACAACACAAGAAACAACAGGTGTTGTTGAGAATGTAGAGAAAAAGGAACCCTCTTGTACTGTTCGTGGGAATGTAAACTTGTGCAGCTATTGTGGAAAGCAGTATGGAAGTTCCTCAAAAAAACTAAAAATAAAACTACCCTATGACCCAGTAACTGCACCACTGGGTATTTCTGCAAATAATACAAAAATACTGGGGCACCTGGGCAACTCAGTTGGTTAAACATTCAGCTCTTGATTTTGGCTCAGGTCATGATCTCACAGTTTGTGAAATTAAGCCCCTAGTCAGGCTGTCTCTCTCTCTCTCTCTCTCTCTCTCTCTCTCTCTCTCTCTGTGTGTGTGTGTGTGTGTGTGTGTGTCCCTCTCCAGCTCACACAGTCTCTCTCTCTCTCTCAAAATAAATAAATAAATAAACAAACAAACATTTTTTAAAAGAATACAATAATACTAATTCAGAGGGATATGTGCACCCCAATGTTTATAGCAGCATTATCTATAATACCCAAATTATGGAAATAGCCCAAGGGTCCGTGGATTGATGAATGGATTAAGAAGATGTGGAAGGCTCCTCGGTGGTTCAGTCAGTTGAGTGTCCAACCCTTGATTTCATCTCAGATTATGATCCCATGGTTATGGGACTGAGCCCCATGTTAGGCTCCATATTGAGCACGGAGCCTGTTTAAGATTCTCTTTCTCTCTCTTTCTCTGTCTCTATCTCTGCCCCTCTCCCCTGCTTGCTCTCTCTCTCTGTCTCTCTCTCTGTCTAAAATTGAAAAACAGAAGATGTGGTATATAAATGGTGTATGGAATATTACTCAGCCAAGAAAGAAGAGTTAAGATGGCAGAGTAGTAAGGGGACTCTTGGTTTGTCATGTCCCTTGAACACAGCTAGATCAACATCAAATCATTTTGCACACCTAAGAAATTGATCTGAGGATTAGAGAACAATCTGCATAATTTGAGGGAGAGAATGTGGGAGGCTTCTTTTTAACAAACAAATCAAAGTACACATATTTAAAGTTCCAGACACTCCCCATTGAAAGCAAGAAGTAACTCTGCAGAGGACTGACATGGGGAAAAAGCAGCCAATTCACAACAACAGAGGGCACACAGCATATACCAGAAACATATCCTGAAGTTCCAGGTCCTGGACATTGTATAAACCCTTCTTAATATAGCATTACTCTCAAGAGCAGGAAACATAACAAGCTTTCATACACACAAAAGACAGAAACCTAGACAAAATGACAAGACAGAGGAATTCTTCCCCAAAGAAAGATCAAGAAGAAATCGCAGTCAAGGATTTGCTCAAAACAGATACAAGTAATATATCTGAATATGAATTTAGAAAAATAGTCATAAGAATACTAGCTAGGCTTGGAAAAAGCATAGAAGACACCAGAGAAACCCTTGCTGCAGAGATTAAAGACCTAAAAATTAGGCCAAAATAAAAAATGCTATAACTGAGATGCAAAACTGACTGGATGTAATCACAACAAGGATGGAAGTAGAGAATTGAATAGGTTATATAGAATATAAAATTATAGAAAAAAATGAAGCTGGAAAGGAGAGAAAAAGAAAACTATTGGATCACAAATATAGACTTAAGGAACTCAGTGATTCTATAAAGTGCAATACTATCCATATCATAGGAGTTCCAGAAGAAGAGTGGGAAAAAGGGACAGAGGTTTTATAGCTGAGAACTTCCCTAATCTGGGGAAGGAAACAAGCATTCAAGTCCAAGAGGCACAGAGAACTCCCCTCAAAATCAATAAAAACAGGTCAACACCAAGACATATCATAGTGAAACCTGCAAAATACAAAGACAAAGAGATAATTCTGAAAGCAGCTAGGGACAAATCCTTAACCTACACAGGTAGACATATAAGGTTAGAAGCAGACCTGTCCACAAGCCTTTTGGCAAGCCAGAGGGGAGGGGCAGGATATATTCAATGTGCTAACAAGAAAAACTATGCAGGCAAGAATACCTTATCCAGAAAGTCTACCATTCAGAATAGGAGAGATACAGAGTTTCTAAGACAAGCAAAAACTAAAGGACTTCATGAACACTAAACTAGTTCTGCAAGAATTATTAAAGGGGACACTTTGAGCGGGAAAGAGAAATGAAAAGCAACAAAGGCTAGAAAGGAACAGAGGCAATCTACACGAATAACAACTTTCAAATAATACAATGGCACTAAATTCATATCTATCAATAATTATTGTAAATGTAAATGGACTAAATGCTCCAATCAAAAGACACAGGGTCAGAATGGATTATAAAAACAAAACAAAACAAGACCCATTGTTATGATGCTTACAAGAGACTCATTTTAGTCCCAAAGATACTTCCAGATTGAAAGTGAGGGGGTAAAAAACAATTTATAATGGTGCCTGGGTGGCTCAGTCAGTTAAGCATCTGACTTCAGCTCAGGTCATGATCTCATGGTTCATGAGTTCAACCCCCTGTCAGTCTGCGTGCTGACAGCTCAGAGCCTGGAGCCTGCTTGGGATTCTGTGTCTCCCTCTCTCTCTCTGCCACTCCTTCCCTCCACCACCCCCCCGCCTCTCTCTCTCTCTCCCTCTCTCTCTCTCTTTATCTCTCCTACAAAAATAAATAAACACTGGGGCTCCTGGGTGGCTTAGTCGGTTAAGCGTCCGACTTTCACTTAGGTCATGATCTCGCGGTTCGTGGGTTCGAGCCCCGCGTCGGGCTCTGTGCTGACTGCCAGCTCAGAGCCTGGAGCTGCTTCGGATTCTGTGTCTCCCTCTCTCTCTGACCCTCCCTTGCTCGCGCGCTCTCTCTCTCCTAGAAATAAATAAAACATTAAAAAATTTTTTAAAAATAAATAAACATTTAAAAAATTTTAAAAACAACAATTTATCATGCTAATGGATATCAAAAGAAAGCTGGGGTGGCCATATTTATATCAGACAAACTAGATTTTAAAACAAAAACTGTTATAAGAGATGAAGAAAGGCACTATATCATAATAAAGGGGTCTATACAACAAGATCTAACTGTAAATTTTATGCTCCCAACTTGGAACAGCCAAATATATAAAGCAATTAATAAAAAAAATCTAAAGAAACTTGTTGATAATAATACAATAATA